TTTTTTTTTTTTTAATATACAATGAATGGATAATGTGTAGATAGATATAACCACTAGAGATATTTTTATGGTATTGAACTCTTACTTATTCCACGTGGATGAAAGTCCTTTATTTAATTGTCACACAACCTCCAATTCATGTTAATGGTTGGAGATGCTCTTAGGGTCCCTATTGAAGCCTATAAACACATATCTTCTCTAGTCTTCCAAGACATACAACACAAAGATATATTTTGAGTCTCCTTCCCACCAAGGGAGTTCTAGAGATGTTAGGTAATTCAATAGAAGGTCTAAGGTAGTCGAGCACTCGACCCATCGGGCGAGCACTCGACCACCGTTGGTCGTCCAACACCACTGTGACGCTATCGCTGCCGACCTGCGAGCTCGCATCGACTCATCCCGAAGACCCACTGCACCCGATCGCTCCCAGCGACCCGTGCCGCTGACCCCCAAGTTCTCAGCGCCCGACACCGAGAGTCGCGACCCGTAGCGAGTTCCCAGCGACCCCGTGAAGACCCGCGACGTCGAGACCTATAAGAATCTCGCGACCCACTCAACGCTAGACGAGTCCCGCGACCTGCTTCCGGGTGACTGATCGATACCCGTTTCTCCCCGCGACGTCGAGACCTATAAGAATCTCACAACCCACTCAACGCTAGACGAGTCCCGCGACCTGCTTCCGGGTGACTGATCGATACCCGTTTCTCCTGACAACCACATGCACGCAACCCGCGACATCCCGATAAGGATAGTCCAGCAATCCAACGGACTATGAGGTTCAGAAGATCTCCAACAACGAAAATCAAGAACGTCTCAGAGTCGACAAATTATTAAATCGTAAGTCTTCTACCCTAATCTATAGATCCGACGCTCATAGGTTGTTTTGTAAATAAATTTGTAACTTGCACATTACTGCCGATCCTTATAGATCCCAACAGGAAGAACTCTATTAAAAATAAAAATATAGTGTTCTTTTGCTTAGAGCTGGCAAAATCAATACTAAATTTTTTCAGGCTAGTGTTAACAGAGGAGAAGCTAGAATAGCTTGGAAAATTTCTTAAATGCTAAAGGGACAAGGAGTATAAACAATCAAGAAACTGTTAAGATAGGCTTTAGTTATTTTGTTAAGATATCTTTGGTTTGATATGATCTTGATTTGGCAGTAGTTATTTTAGTAATTAGATATTTGATTTGATCTTGATTTGATTTGATTTTATCTTGATTTGTTTTTTTATCTCTCACAGCCTCCATATAATGGATGTAATCTCACTATTACAACGAATAAAAATACACATCTTTATCTTCTTTGGTTATCCATTTTATCCTAATTCTAGCAGAAACCTTGGATGAAGTTAAAACTTATTTTGAGAATTTGTTCAGAACATTTGATCATGGAGATTATTTCATGGCTTCTTGAGTACTAAAATGTACCTGAAAAGAAGAAGCATAGAAGTGGATGAAATCTGCACTCCATGTGGGGAATAACCAGAAGACATAAATCATCTTTTGAGTAGGACTTGTGACCATCACAATCAATGCTCTATTTTCGTCTTTGGGAAAAGTAAGTATGGACGGGGGGTGGCAAAAAAGGATGGCATAGTACTGCAGCAGGAATAGGATGTACATGGGTCGGGTTGGGTACGGGTTTTGGCAAACTCGAACCCGATCCGCATATAATTCACCCTACACAAACCCGACTCGTTACCCGACTAGTGATCTTCGGGTTCGGGTTGGGTTTTACCCGGCGAGTTAGTGGGTTTTCGTCGGGTAAACAAGTAACTCGAGTCTTAAATTTGGGTTTTAACCGACCCATCTCGTTTCATATGAAAATAAAATAAAATAATTTCACAATTAATTATAGTGTAAGAAATAATATATTAACTAAGTTTGACAATAAAAAATTATAAAAAAATTAAATTATAGTCTATTTAATATTATAACATTTAAAATTAGGTATTTAATTTTTTTATTGTACAATTAACAAAAAATGATAATAAAATTATAAAAAATTAAATAAATTTAACCATTAATCAAAATTATAATAGATAATCTAATTTTTAAAAATAACACATGACTACTTTTATATTTATTATAAGTTATATATATATATATATATAT